ACCGTCTAAACACTACACGTGCCCTCGCCGACTGTTTACCGTTTAGCGTTTAGGCTAACACTGCTAAAAATAGTAAGTATTTTAGTGGGTCCCTCATTATATTACTAGGAAAGTTAGTTCCAATTTTTTATTTTTTTTATTAAACGTGTTTCAACCTCCGTTAATATCTTTTTTTATTTTTAATAATAGGTTAATAGTAAAAGTGGACCTAAATTTGTTATTACCATTTATAGATAGGCATTTTAAAATATTTTGTCTGTTTTGATTTCTCATTAATATAAAAGTAAATTTCTTTTTACATGTACATGATATGTTGAATCACAGTGAATTATTTATGATGTATGTTAAATAATAATTTATATTTAAAGTCTTCCTAAAAATATGAAGATACTAGATAATAATATGGTACTTATTTAAATAAAAGAATGTTTCACAAATAAAGAAATTGTAAGTATATGTATAGAAAATAATAGTTAATTAATAAGATTACATTATAAATTATAAAACCAGACAAGTAAGAAATAAAATATTCAAGTGTCAAAATACGATCTAAATTACATGATAAATTCAAACAAACTGTAATAAAATGTGTTAAGATAATAAAATAATTTGAGTATTTTCTTATACCCCAACTATATATATTTGCGCATTTAGTACATGATGTTCCAATTAAATCAATTTAGTTACTCAAGTTTTCGTTTATCAATATATTTTGGCCCACATCGTTAGATTTTATAAATAAATAAATAAATAAATAACGGTTTTAGAAAGAAATTCGTTAAATTCATGGAAAACTATATAAAAAAAACTATAAAAAAAACTATATAAAAAAATTCATTAATACTATGTCGATTTGTTCTATTAATAAAAAAAAAAAACTAAAGAATATATATATAGGAATCTACTTTTAAGCTTTTAATTTTGAACTTTACATTGTTAGTTCTCGAGTTACAAATAAAAGACACAAGATACTGATGTATAATGAGAAATAAAATATGCAGATATAAACATTGTATATAGTAGTCTATTTTATTTGCATATGAAAATTATTTATTCTATTTATGTTTCCTTATTTCATTTATTTTTAATAGTTCCGTGCATTTGCACGGGCCACGATACTAGTACATATAATAGCACATGATATACATAAAAAAAAAAAAAAAAATCATCTATATTATGGGTCGGTCTATTATCCCCGAAAATCCCCTACAATTAGGCCAATATGCATAATAAATAGGCATATTAATTTCCGTTGACAATCCCCGATACGACTCTCTCTCTCTCTCTCTCTCTCTCTCTCATGTAATTTTCCATAAAACTCGTGATTTAAAATGATACGATAAATTAGAGAAATTTTTCAAAAAACTTATTTTGTTTGAAATTTAAATTTTTATCTTAGTTGTACAAATTTAGCCTTAACTAAAATATTGGGTTATTTTAATATTTTCTAGATTGATTACAAAACCAAATTTTCCATACGATTAAATATTTATAAAATTATTTTTTTATAAAAGAATACCAAAATTCAAATATGACTAGACAATCATACATAAAATAATTGGAAAAAAATAAAAATCATAGATCTTCATATCTCGAAGCGAAATCGAACCTTTTTGAACTGTTTCGATATCTCAAACCTCGAATCGAACTGAAAAATAAATAAAAAAATTGGATCAAATCATCCTAATTTGTGGTATGGTTCTGAATATTGAATTTTAGTGATTTCCGCATTCTGATTGTTCTTGAGATTTCTTAATCTTTCGTACAACCCATGCTCAACCTTATATACATATTATTTTCCAGAAAATATCTAGCTGGGCAATAATAATGGATATCCTAAAACATTGTTTAAAGAAATATCAAACAATTATATCTATAATAAAAATAAAACATAATATAATAATTGGAATTAATATGATACTGAGAGTAGTGTAATAGTATGAAATATTGATAGATGTAAAGAAAATTATAATTAGGCAAACAACAAT